CAGCCGGGGGGATCCTGGCCCAGCAGGCAGAGACCACTGTGCCCAGCACCACAGCTGTGCCCAGCACCACCCTGGCCTCCCGCACCACCACCCGCAGCCCCCCCACCACTGTCCTGGGGCAGGGGGCTGACAGCACCAGTGGCCCTGAAACACCCAACAAAGGTGAGTGAGTTGGGGGGCTGGGAGGGGGCACCAGCCCCGGTGGTCCTGCTGCCTGGGCCAGCAATAGCCACGGTGAGGGGCTTCTCAGCCTCGGCGCAGGCAGGCTGCCTGGGTAGGGGTGAGCCTTCCTCCTCCTCCTCCTCCTCCATACCCAGTGAAGGAGGTGGAGTGCGAGGGCACCATCGAGTCTGTGCAGCCCCCCACGGAGCACCACAGCTACGGGCGCAATGAGGGGGCCTGGATGAAGGACCCGGCAGCCAAGGATGACCGCATCTACGTCACCAACTACTACTACGGCAACAGCCTGGTGGAGTTCAGGAGCCTCGACAGCTTCAAGCAGGGTGAGGGAGGGCTGGCTGCCGAGCGGGCATGGGGCCCCCAGCTTCTCCTGGGGGGTGCCCAGTGCTGGGCCAACCTGAGGCAGTGGGGAGCAGATGGGCACCTGTGCTGGGGACATGGGGACAGGAGACCCCTGTTGCTATGCTCGGGCCATCAGGACCTTTGCGCTGCAAGGGATCTCAATGCCTACCCCGCCCCCTCACAGGCCGCTGGAGCAACCTCTACAAACTGCCCTACAACTGGATTGGCACTGGGCATGTGGTGTACCGGGGGGCTTTCTACTACAACCGTGCCTTCACCAAGAACATCATCAAGTATGACCTGAAGGAGCGGTACGTGGCGGGCTGGGCGCTGCTCCACGACGTGGTGTATGAGGACACGACGCCCTGGAAGTGGAGGGGCCACTCAGACATCGACTTCGCCGTGGACGAGAGTGGGCTCTGGGTCATCTACCCCTCTGTGGACTACGACTACTCGCAGCAGGAGGTGATCGTCCTCAGCCGCCTGGACCCCGGGGACCTCTCGGTGCGCAGGGAGACCACCTGGAAGACGGGTCTGAAGCGCAATGCCTACGGGAACTGCTTCGTCATCTGTGGCATCCTCTATGCCGTGGACACCTACAGCCAGAAGGATGGGCAGATCTCCTATGCCTTCGACACGCACACGGACACGGAGGCCGAGCTACGGCTGCCCTTTCTCAACCAGTATGCCTTCACCACGCAGGTCGACTACAACCCCAAGGAGAAGGTGCTCTACGCCTGGGACAACGGCCATCAGATGACCTATGGGCTCCACTTTGTGGTCTGAGCGCCCGGCTGGGTCCCAGCCACATCCCTGGTGCCCCCAGCTGCGATGAGAGCCCAGCTTCCACCTCAAAACCCTCCCCATCCGCTGTGCTGACATCCTGCACCATGCCTCTGGCATTGCGGGGTGCGGGTCAGCACAGCCCCCATCACCCCCCTACGACAACGTGGCCTCTGGGGCCGTGGGGCTACCCCAAGGGCTGCAGCGTGGCTGGCACTGCCTTCCCCACGGCACCGGGAGGCAGCAGGGTCTGCACTGCCGGCCATGCAGCAGCACCCGCCCCGTGCCACTGCACCAAGCACCCGCTTGTGCCACACACCTAACACCCGCAGGGCTACCGCA